TAACAAGGTAAAACACTTGTTTTTGTAATAAAGGAAACAGCATTCTGAATTAATTTGCCGTTAAAGTCAACACGATACCATTGTGTTTTGTGTTTGTGTGTGGATATATACATACGGTGATTTGCTCCATGAGAACAGCGTTGGTGGCCTCAGTTTCATGCAGCAGGCTGTTCATGTGCTCCATGCTGCGGGTGGCTGTGCTCAGCTTTTCACTCAGCTCTTCTTTGGTTGGCTCCACTGTCCAAACAAACGGCTCTGGAGGCCAAAGACACAAAAGATAAAAGGTTTGAGCCTCATATAATCAATGTGTTTTGGTATTGATAATAATTTAATCACAGATGTAAACCCAGTCAAACAACATTACAACTTTATATCGTCGTTTTTAGTAGTTTTGAATGTAGTGAAGACTGTTCCATCCTGATGCAGCAAATATAACCAGTACACAGTGAAGTTGAGTTTTTACCTCTCCCTAAGTGGACATCCATTCCTTCGACACAAATAAAGTTGGGTCAAAAGAATGAATCGGGCAAGATTTGGGTAAAGGAATGGATTTAACTTAAATCAACTCCATGTTTATGAGTGCAGCTCTGCTTTCAAACACACCTTGTTTGGGGTCTGGGGATGTGAGGAGCTGCTCCAGAGAGGGGAGGGGTGTGAGAGCAGGGGAGGAGCTCTCGGTCTCAGTGGTCTCCATGCCTTCACCCTCCTCCCTGGCCATCGACTGGAGATCGCTGAGGGCCACAAGTCCCAAACCGACCGGGTTCTGGTCTGTGTTTCTGCGCTGGGGGTCTGATGCGAGGGGCTTACGGCTGGACTGGACCGCCACCGAACCTGGATGGGTGTAATATGAGTTGTGAGAAGCACAGCGTTATATGCATCTTGAAAAGCAGCAGCTTTCCAGAATTAAACTTCCTTCTTTTAAGAATGTGTTACATGAACTAAGGAGCTTTCAAACTGGGTAAAAAATACAGAATATATTACATTTCAAAACAAGAAGAACAAGAATTTTTAGTGAAAAGCTTTTATGATCACCCAGAGAAGCCACATCATTGCTGCTGCCAGGCCTCAGGCTTCCTGTAATTCCCCCAACAAAGGAGCAAAAGCTAAATAAATAAAAGCAATAAAATAATTTCAGCCAAGAGAAGCATTTTTCCTGAAAAGCACCTCTGGATTGTTAATATTCACAAAGCACACACAGCCCTTGAGTTGCTGCTGACTGTGAAGGGTTGTCCTACTTCTTTGTGACATGAGGGGGCACCAGACAACCTCAGGTCCAAACCAGTTCAGCTAGCATTAACAGTGACAACGAAATGTGAAGAGAAGGGCGAGAGGGAAGGATGAGGTGCTTGAGAAAGTGGGTGGACAAAAGAAAGGATTGCGATTAATGAACCTGAAACTGAACTCAGAGACCAAACTCCGAACCAAACCCCTCGTCTCCTCGCCTCCAGTCTGGCCCTCTGCTCCCTCTTATGAGTGAAAAGCACAAGGATTGCTACGACTTTTTTGTGTGTGAATGCATTATAATTATATACATTTTTGTAATTTGATCAGGATTAAGGTTTAACAAGTTTAATGATGGCTGTGGACCAGGAGAGCATTTTGTGCCAATCGGATCAGTGGTGACAGACCTCCCAACAAAAACATATTTATCTCGTGTGAAGTTTAAAAACACTACCTCCTCACAGAACATTAAACGTTACAGGAGAGCTTATAAAGGGAGGCCACACTGTTCAGGACTAAATACTCAGGAGTACAGATTCAAGACACATCAAGCTCTCAAGGTGGGAATTAAGAACAGTAATTTATATTAAAAAAACAGAATCCTGGACATTATATAAAACAGAAAGCACAGTGTCTAAAGCCACAACAAGAGAGAGAGCAGCTGACAAAGCTGCAGCTTCCACTGGTTTTAAAGTTAGAAAATACTGTTTCCTGTTTGTGTTTATGTACTGCTTAAATATTAAGATTAAAGGAAAATTTACGCCTAACAAGACACTGAACAAAGATCAATTTTATTGTTAGTTGCAGCTGATTTATAAAAAAAAAATATGAGGCCAGTGAAATTTGTTCAAAGGCCAGTAGTTTTATGACCCACCTGCCCAACAGGGCCAGTAAAACACACTGCTGCTGAAGCCTTCTGCATTTTAGCTGCCATTAAATCCAAACGTACCGTTAAAAACGGCTCAGATATGACTTCCAACGAAGGCTAGTATTGGCCGCATGTATCGAGTTCATCCTGGCGCCCATGTGCGAGCGGCTAATGATGAGTCTCTCCAGATGCCACAGTGAGCTGCTTGCCACACTGAGAGGCGGGAACAGAGCCGGGGAACCTTGCCAACACCTGGCCAGGCTGAAGTGACAGAGCGTAGACACGCACACACACTTGCCGTTCCTAGTCATTACTATATGTGAGTTTGCTGTTTGACTCCAGAGGGCAGCTGTGTGGGAGGTGATGAATGAGCTCTCGGTGCTGCTCTACTGATAAACACACTGATGCCCCCCTCTGCTGTTCCCTCTCCGTCTCCCATCAGTCCTCTCATGGAAGGGAGAAGTAAACAAGATAGAAAACTTCAACACGGTCAACCACTTGATGCTTTGGTGGATTTCTTTATAACCTACCGTTCATTTAAACCTTGAGATTACTGCCCTCGACTTCAGCAGCAGAGATTTTTTTTTTGGATCATTTTGCTGCTGACTAATAGAAACACTTGCTACCCATCTGTTCATAGTGCTGTTTCATGAAGAGAATCGGGTAGTTATGGCCTGTTAAATCTAAATAGGTTATAATTCCTCCTGATGCTTACTGTTCTGGCTCTGCAGGTTGAAGAGCTGCTCCTCAACCCGGGTCAGCTGGCCCTGCAGGGTCTCCACCGTGGCCCGGTGGTCATCCTGCAGCTTCCTCAGCTGCTCCCTGTAGGTCTGACGCTGGGTCTCCACTTGGGAGGACAAGTCGGCCTGAGCCTGGGACAGGTCCGACCGCAAGGCCACGTTGTCTGACTGCAATGACAAAAGCCTGGAGGGGGGGAGACAGATAGAGAGAGGAAGAGATTACAGGTTGTTTATTTAGGAGAGAAGCAGCATAGCATATGAAAGTAAAGGAAAAGAAGAGAGTCAAGTCCAATCAGGTGTTCCCAGCATGTGTCCCTATGTCTCATGATTGCAAATTCGCAGAGGAGGAAACGTTGAAAAGGCAAACAGGGAGTGGGGAAAAAAATAAAAATAAAATAAAAATCTAAAGCCAAGTGAATTCACCTCTCACGGAGCTCAGCCTCTTTGCTGACGGTTTCCTGGAGGATTTTGTTGTGTCTCTCCAGCAGGGTGTCGTGTTCGGTCTGGAGCTGCTGCAGCTCTGCGGTGCTGCTCTGAAGACTCTGCTGGCTCTCTGCCAGCCTGGTCCTCAGCTGCTCTACCTGAGAGGACAGCTGCTCCCTGCAAGACGCACCGCACAAAAAACACAATCATGTTACACTTGAAGCCTCGTTTTTAAGCGTCTCACATACTAATTAATGGTCACTGAATCGATTTCCTTAAAATGTAGATGACTTCTAATGCCACATTTCTGATACTTTATTGTCTGTAGATGCATTTTGTCAGTGGGGAGCCAAGTAAATTTAATAATTGCAAATGGCCTGTATTTGTGTTACACAGATAGTTCTTAATTATGTGTTCATTTTAGTTACATAATGCAGGAAAGCAGACCTTTTGGTATAGGTTTTAAATGCTCGTGACCATATCTGTACAAAAGAAAGACAAACTTGAATTAGGGAGTTGCCTGGTTTTGAGTTTTTTACACCTCATTTGGACTACAAATGTGTTCGTGCAGCCTTAAAGGTGTTTGAGGGTGTCACACAGGGCGATGAGAGACGGAGCATCAACCCTAATTATACAGAGTTCTCCCAACGGTGCAGCAGGACACCGACAGGATTAGAATTCCTCTGCTGTGAAATTAAGGTGAAGAGTCTGAGCTTCACTTTCTGAGTTAGTGGTAAAGTTTAACTCAACAGGTGCATCACTGTCCGCTGTAGTTTACACACATTTACCTGGATGTAAAGCACAGTCAGGTTTTTAAATTGCAGCTTTCTTTGCAGAGTTCTTTCATCCACCTGTTGTCCTTACCTCTCTAGTTTACCAGCGTCTCCCTCACTTTGGGTGGTGGTTTTGCTCTTCTGCTGTTTGAGCACATTGTGGACTCGCACCTTGTAACTCTCGAACTCGCCTGTTGTGGCCACGAGCTCATCCTGGAATCAAAGCACACATCAGGGTGAGATATACAGGAAACAGCAGGGCGCACGTTTGCTGGAGATATTCTGACAAATTGGTGAGTAAAGCTGTTGTAGTGATTTTTGATGGGCAGCCAATACAGAAAACTAGTGTTGTATCTCATGACTTTACAAATTCAGGGGGATGACATTTTGATGCCACAGCTGAGATAAAACTCGACATTAACTCTGTATGTTCTGTTAGGATGTTTACCTGTTTCCATTTTTTCCACTGATGACATTTTAAGTCGCAGTTTAATCCTCAACCCAATAAAAAACCATCCTCTTTCTTCTATTTAAATCATCAGACCTACAGTATGTACCTCTCCCTGGACTGTTAGTAAGAACAGCGATGTACCAGCTGGTGATGACTTGTAATGCATTTTCTAAATTATTCTTTCAGAAATTTGTGATTATAAAGTGTCTGATTATTGGTGCTTAGTTGAACTTTCTGCAATTCCCTTTCATTAATTTGTACTTTCACAATCGTATGTGCTGCAGCTCTTAAAATATTAGTTTATTTAACTCCTCACTTTGTAGGGAATAATGCCAGTCACATCATGTACTGATCAGCCGTCACACAGAAAATCACTAAAACCTCTTGTGATAATCGAATGAACGTCGCTCACAAACATCGCCTAGATTTTGTTCCATATTAGTTGATAATAAGTAATTTAGGATTTTGGACTGTTAGTCATACAAAACAGGCCATTACAACTTGTCACCTTCGGGCATTCATCAAATATTTTTGACATTGTTAGATTTAATGATTAATCAAACATAATTGAGAGATTAATAATGAAAACAGTAATTAGCAGCGGTCTATATAACAATGGTCTCTTTAAGCATGAGCTGCCGCAGCCTTCAACTAATTTCATCAAAGTCAGAAGCTACTATTTCTGCTCGTGCGTTTAAAAAATATAAATAAAGATGCTCATTAACCTGTAACCTGTGTCACACTTCAGGACTAATGCAGAGACACTAATGCATGCTGAATTAACTACTGTGATGCTCTCCTATGTGGTCTCCCTCAGAAGACTGCACATCCACTCCAGCTGCTTGAAAACTCGGCAGCACGAGTTCTCACTAAGACCAGAAGGAGAGCTCACATTACACCTGTTTTAAAGTCTCTGTACTGCTTATCTGTGTCTTTTAGAATTGATTTTAAGATTCTTTTATTAGTTTATAACGTTCCTAATGGTGTTGGTCCTTCGTATTTATCCGATTTGCTTTCATCTTATGAACCCTCCAGAACCCTCAGGTCTTCTGGTTGTGGCTTTTTAATTAAACCTAAAGCCAGAACAATAACATACGGTGTGGCAGAATTTTGCTATTACAGCCCACATCTCTGGAACGGCCGTCCAGAGGACCTGAGGGCAGCAGAGAGTGCTGATATTTGTAAAAGCAAACTCAAGCCCTACCTTTTTAGTCAGGCTTTTGATAGATTTTATTTATATATAACTTTACCTAGAATTTATTTGATCTATTTACTTCTCTATTTATTCAACTATTTACATTATTTAGTCTGTTTAATGTACAGTTTACCTAATTTTTGTCATTTCTTATTCTGTTTTTATAAATTAAAAAAAAAAAAAATCTATCTTTTATGATTTCATCTCTATTTCAATAATACGCTACTTTAGTTATTTATCTAGCTTATTTTATCTTATTATATTTCATTTTATCTCATCTGGTGTTTCCTCTTTACATAGGATAGCATTTCCTCAGTTCCTCAATCTGTGTTTTGAAGTCCTTTATTGATAACTTGACTGTGGGGGTGGGTTTGTTTGTCTATTCATCTTTGTGACTGTTGATTAAACATCGCTACTTCTTCATTTCTTTGTTCATTTCACTGAGCTCATTCATTTGACTGTGTCTGTGAGTCCACCTGCAGATGCTGAATTAAACTTCATCCTCCCTCTTTTCTAGTGGAGCTGGTAGCGTGTATGTTGTCAATAAACCTAAACAAATGGTTTTTCAGAAAAAAAGAAAAAAGAAAGAAATGCTTCAACCCTTGTACCTTGGCGGTGTCTCTCTCCTGCTGCAGACTGTGGATGCGTTGCTGCAGGGAGCTGCTGGTTCTTTGTTGCTGTTCCAACGCAGACCTCAGCTGCTCCTGCAGACGTTGGCGCTCTGCTGTCAGCTCAGACACCTCAATCTAAATGCACAAGCACACACGTTAGTAAGCGCATGCCTGTGACCGGCATCTTTGTCAGATTCTACATTTTATCAAAAGGGGGTAGCAGAGTGTCGTGTTGGGGGCGCAACCTTAGAATTCTCTAGCTGCTGCTGGTGAGCCTCCAGCTCTCCTTTCAGAGAGGCCTGCAGCATCATGAGGGAGCTTTCCTGCATGTATGCACACAGACACACACACACACAGAGTGGAAATTTAAATGCATACACCCATTTACGCAAGGACACACACACACAGAGATGATTAACTATTCCCACATCTTCAAGGCCTCCCTCACAGTCATGTCTGCACTCGGTTGCATAACACTATTTACATTCATCAGGCAGCACGTTACACACAGTAGAAGGAAATCCTTTGAGACACACCTATAAAAACCCGCCCACATACACATCTACAAAGGCGCAAACACACACATGCACATCCGTATTGCTATCTCATTCACTGACATAATACATTCCTCTAGTCCTCTACCTAAGAGGCAGCCACTAGTACTATGTGGTTGACTCCTAACTTGAAGCATAACCCTAAAACCAACTGCCAGCCCTCAAACTTTCCTTTAAAAGGGCATGGGAAAGTGAAGATCATCCAAAAGCTCCACATGGTGCCAAAACGTCCACACATGGTCGACCTGAAACTCAGACTGGTCGTAACAAAGACAGCTGCATAAGTACACACACACACGAATAACCAGACCTGTTTCTTGGAGTCGGCCAGGTCCTTTTTGGTTTTCACCAGCAGCTGTTTCATCTTAGAGGTCTTCTCCTCCCTCTGGTCCATCTGGGACTTCAAAGCCTCTGGAGACACACACATACACACATGAACAGGCACATGTGGACGCATGAAAGAAAAATGAAAATAGAAGAAAAATGGATCCCTGAATGCAGACTTGTGCTCCTAAAATCTGTCATGCACCATATAATGTAGAATGAGAATGAATGCATAATAAATAAAGTGAATGAAATGAAATGTCTGTACAGTTATGCTGTGTCTCAACAACAGTGTGTTTAAAGCAGGTATGTTTTTATCATGATGCAATTCCCAAGTAACTACACAGTGCAACATAAAAGGAACTCTATAGGTTTTATTCTGTGTGTCAGTCAGTGTAAATGTCCTTCATACCAATTTCCTCTTTGAGGGTTTCCTCCTTCTGGCTGAGCGTGTTTATCTGAGTCTTTAGCTCCTCAGCACACTCGTCTTTCTCGGAGAGTTTGGCGTTGAGCTCCTTTACAAGGCGTTCGTAGTCAGCCATCTCCATGTCCAGCAGAGAGCTCTGCTGTGCTTCCTAGAGGCAGAGTCAACACACTACATCATGTCGCTGTCAGACATTTAATTGAACATTTCATGCTGCGATTAATCTGCTGTTAGAACGTACAGAATCAAATCAAGTTTTTTAAAAAAAGTTACCATTCTACCTAAGACAGATATTCTTGTATATTAAACTATTCTTACATAGTAAAGATTGATTGAAAAACAACATTTTGACGTATGTTTCAAGAGATGTCTTCATTGGTATTTGTGTGTGAACCTTGCATTTACAACATGTGTGCCCAAGACGAGCAGCAGTCCAACAGAGTCCAACACACAACCACTTTTGTTTTTTTGCATGTAAAATGAAAGAAAATATACTTGGAGTGTCAAAATATGCTTCAGGCCGTATTCACTAACGTATTGTGTAAATAAAACATGAGCGGTTACACGGCCTGTGTAGACAGATGGTTGAATGTTTTCTGTGCAGACACATTTTTTCTCACAAAAAATTCTGAGCCGATGAAGCCGGAAATTCTGGAAAGATTACATAATTATAATTCCAGACACATAATGAAATCTTTTATCACTTTGTAAACGAGTTGACTTTTTACATGCATATTTGATCTTTATCTTTGTACTCTTAAGTCCAGAAGTGTTAACATGCAAGAATAACTATCATGCATTTATTGTTGTGAATTTTATAAATCATCCAATAATAAAGCTTAATATCTCCAGTGTGTCTTTATTACTAATCTTTAATAACAACCTCCTGGTATCTCTGCCAAAAAACAAATAGCAGGGCTGTACGAACAATGTGGACACATGACAGAGTCGGACCTGCTGGCAGCGTTCATGTACACTGCTGTACTATGTAGGTCTCCACTAATGGAAAAGTAACAGCAGCTCCTGTACTGTGGGCTAGAATTGCTCTCTGTCTCTCTGTGAGGTGCTACTGTAGCTGCAGGCCGGCCATCACCACTTCAGCCGCTTGACTGGATATGCCCTTTGAGACACACGAGTGTCTGAGAAGCATTTGTGTGTTTGTGTGCGGCTACCTTGCGTAGCTGCTCCAGCTCCTGGGCAGTCTGCTGAGACTGTTGCTGCTGCTTGCGGAGCTGAGCTGTCAGCTCTTCTACTTCCTTCATGGCAGATGACAAGTCCTGGACAGGCAGGCAAGCACACATACACTCGTATACAAAGGGGTTTTCAGTTAGCTATAAGATGAGTGTACACAGTGCAGATTCTACGTTAAGAAATAAATCAGTTAAGACATGAGGATACTGAAAGAATTCACCCACTGCACGTGGTTCTGTTGTAAGATTAGTTCAAACATAAGACATCTCTTTTCATTTCTACCTTCAGCTTTTGTTCTTTTATAGCTTTCTCAGCCAGCAGCTCTTTATCCAGACTTGCTGACTGTCTTTGCAGCTCCTGGTTCTTGGTCTCCAGCTGCCTCACTGCGCTCCTCACGGTCTCCATACCGGCCAGTAGGTCCTCCTTCTCACTGCTCAGTGTCTCCATCTGCGAAAGAATAAATACTCCAGATTACTGTTGCTGTTGGATGAACCTCCAGTTCCCAAATTCTCAGTAATAAAGAGATCATGGTTGCAACTCAGGATTATTTTAACTGTGTTTTTATCTCAATTAATTGTTTAAAAAATGTAGATCAGTTTTTCTCAAGGCACAAAAATTATGTCTTGTTTAGTCCACAAGTCAAACATATTTAGTTTACTGTCACAGAGGAGTAAAGAAACCAGAAAATATTCAAATCTAAGCGGATGGAATACAAGGATTTTCTTTTTAAAATACTCAAATCACTTAATTGATGACAAAAATCTAGTTGGTGAGTATGTTGTTAGCTGATAACTAAAGAACAACTGCATTTCTAATAGAGACTATGTGATCTAATGATGATTTATAAAGTGAACAAGGGTTGACATCATAACGAAGCTCAGTTTTGACTCTTATTCTCACATCATGTAGAGATTTAGAGCCAATGCAGGACGGCTGGTTTCAATATTTTTATTTACATAAACAGTTTTAGTGACGTGTTAGCACGGTTTCACTTTTTATTCCACAGCATGTGTTGAGAATAATCTACAGCCAAAGAAAAACATAAAATCACTCCAAAATGAAGGATGCCATGCTGAGAGAAAGGCTGCTTTACTCATTTCATATTCCAGGTTTTCATTTGAAAATGCACTTGTGGGCAAATGCACCAATCCTGCATGAACACATGTGACACCTTTGAAAATCATTCATGCAAATCTGACAGTAGCAGACTCTGCGGGCCTTCTCTTCAAGGAACACTGAGCCGGCAGAAGCAGCAGCTATCTTCCATCATCTGTCAGCCCAACACTGAAGCTATGATTGGTAAACAGAGATGTCCAGACGTACTCCGAGATCCCTGACTAGCTTCAGTCTGCGCGCTCCCCCTGAGAACCATGAGCGTACACAAGAATAAACTTGCGCCTGAGAAGATGCTGTTGCACTAGCGCGCGGCAGATGGAAGCTATACCCCGCTCCATTTACCTGCCTCTTGTTCTCTCATTGGAAAGAGACAGTTATGAGCTTGGGGAAAGGAGTACATATAAAAACAATTTCTCCCCAGCTCGCCCAGTCACATCTGATGGGCTATTTGCAGGCGCCGGGCTGTCAAATATAGCCGGGTGAAGTGTTGGTGGCGAAAATGGCTCCCTCTAAATCACATGAAAACTGAGTTATGCGATAAGTATTGGGGAGATGTATTACTGGACAAAGTGGCACTCCCTAGATTTACTGGAGGGTGAGAGCGGTTTGTGTGTTTGTTGGTGGTAATGCGTGTGTGTGTTTGCGAGTGTGTATCTGTGCTACCTGTGTGACAGCACTGCTGAGTCGTTTGGTCAGCTCAGCAATCTGTCTCTCCGCCGCCTCCACCTTCTCTCTCTCCTTATCCAGTTGCTCTGTCTGCTTGTCGTAATCTATCTGCAGGTTCTAAACACACACACACACACACACACACACACACAAATCTTCAATATTCATTAGAGGAAGCCGGTTGAACAGCTCAGTGAAGGTAAACACTATGCATCTTAGATATCAGCTGCATTTACATTTGAGCGTGGGACAAAGCTCTCATTAGACACAACAGAGCGGTTTCTCCTTTAATGGAGACACAGCTGTAAAGCACAGTGCAGTCTGGGGGCTGCTCACAGACACCGCTGGGAGTAATATTTCGCACAGAGTCTGTTTTAAATAGCGCGTGCTTCCACTTGCCAATTAGCGGCGTAAGAAACCGATCAAATGTTAAATCAAATCTGTCGTTTGTATTTTGGGTTAATGTGTTTAAACTTTGAAGAACAGCTTATGAATTGAGCTGATAAACCTGGCCTCATATGATAAACCTGCATGATGTTTGTGACATCAGGGCAAAGCACCTCATCTTTTTGTATCAGACCTTTCCGCAAAAATAATCCCTTTATGCCTTCAAATGGCTTACATGTAACTCCACACCGTTGCTTCCTCTAAAATGCATGGATGTATGAAGTCCCTGTCTCGCTCTTCCACTCTGCTCGAACACTGTAAAAGTACTCCATGCTACACTATCACAAGTTTCAGTTCTGGAGAAATTCAGCTCTATGTTCGGGTTGAAACCAGTTCTGAAGAATAATAACGATGTATAAAGCCCCACCCTGCAGATTTTACAGAACTAGTCTCTTATGTATGAACCTGTGCAAGTCTGAATCTTTGTTTTGGAGCGAGACATCAGTACGTTGCAGTGTCGAAAACCTGGTTTTAGTGGAAGAGGTCTTTAGCAATGAAGCTTTTTGATGAGCTGATAGACTGAACATGGACCCAAAACACACTGACCTCTAAAACACACATCAGTTTGACTGTGGGGACGGTCTGACAATGTAGGAGGAATGGTGAGGGGCCATTTGTGTTTACTTTGAATTAGTCCAATCTCTGACACGATCAAGACTTGAGTGTAAAACCTTTAGCAGAGCATCACATCTAAATAACAAAAAAGCTCTACTGTGACTATTTATTTAGTTGATCTCATGCCTACTATTCCCTCGTGTGGTCTGAAACCGCCACGAGTCTTGTTCGGTCTCAGTCAGTCGTACCTTGTAGCCTTCAGCACCATGGATGATGTCCTTCATAGAGCTGCTCACTTTCTCCCTCTCTGCTTTCAGTGACTCAATTTCCTCCTTCAGGGTTGCAACCTGTAAAAAAAAAAAAAAAAAACATTTCTGCCTTGTTATTGCCTGGTGCAATAAATAATCTGAGCACTGAGGCAAAAATTAGTGATGATCACTGTCTGTCCTTGAGGCAGGGCTGTCTCTGGCTTGGACCCGACTAATGAGCAGTCATAATTTCTACTGCAACATGGAAACCTACATGTATCTGCGCTGTCACATCTACAAATAAATAACTATGATTGATTGTTTAGAAATGTCATCCTTCACATTACCTCTTTCTTACTGTTGTCCAGCTCCTTCTTTGCTTTAACGGCGACCGCCTTGATTTTATTCATTTTTTCATCCTTTTCTTTGCTTTCTTTCTCCAGGGTAGCTGAGGGGAGTTAAGGTTACAACATCTGATTAACAGTCTGAAACTGAAACCTACAATTTATCACACAAATTACAGCCTATGAAGCAGGCAAATTAAAACGGTTTTGAAGGGACATATATTTCGTAAAACAACACAGACAAGAGTTACGTCCACACCTATTTTCTTTATGATCTCATCGGCTGTATTTTCCTCAGAGGAAGCAGACTGAGCGGTGGAGTCCTGAGAGGGCGACTGAGGACACAGAGAGACAAAAGAAGGCAGTCAGAAAAAATAACTCCAACTTAGGTGTTCTTTTTGTTTTGCTTGAATCTCCCATAATCTGTGCTTATGTTGATAGAGAAAAAAAAAGTGAGCAAAAATGATTTTTCATTTCCTCATAATTGCGCGCCTGTTCCGGTGGCTAAGCCCAGCCATCTTCCACTCAACATAAAACAAACACACATCAGGCGCTCGACTCACCTGCAGAGCAGCCATTTCACTCCTCAGCTGTGATATGAGGGAGTCCTTCTCCGTCAGCTGCTCTCTGAACTCTCTGCTCTCTTCCTCCATCTCCTGTTTCTCTTCTTCAGACTTAGTCATCAGAGATATTTGAGCCTGTAGGTTTTGGTTCTCATCACTAAACTTCTCGTTAACCGACTTCATATCTTGCAGGTCTTTCTGCAGCCCTTCAGTATCCTTCACGACCTCCTCCAGGTTGGCTCTCAACATGTCTCTTTCCTGTTCCAGGTCACTGATGCGAGCCTGGAACTCCTTTAGCACCTCGTCCGATCCTCCCTCTCCTTGAGTTTCTACAAGGCTTCTCTTCAACAGGCTCCTCTCCTTCTCCAGCTCCTCAACACGTGTTCGGAGATCTTCAGCCTCTTCGGTGGACTTCTGAAGCACTTCAGAATGATCTTCCTTCAGTGCTTGGATGGAGGCACGGGCCTGTTCGGCCTCCTCTGTCAGTGCATTTAACTTCACTTCAAGGTGTTGCTTTTCAGATGCTTCCTGCTCCAGCTGAGCCTCCAGGGCTGCAAGCTTGGAGCCTAAAAGCTCCTTCTCCTCTTGGGCCTTAGAGAGACCAGTGGAAGCCTCTTCCAGCTTCTGATGGAGATCAGTCTTTTCTGTGGAGAGCTCTTTGGTCGTCTCCTCCAACGCAGAAACTGTTTCTTCACGTCTTTTTATCTCCTCTTTCAGTCTTTCCTCCATCTGTTCTCGCTGCTCCTTTAGATGTTGCACTTCATTCTGTGTTTCTATTTTCAAGTTCTTCAGCTCCTTCTCGTTTTCCTCTCTCAGCAAAAGTGCCTTTTTGTCTTTCTCCTCCTGCAGCTTCTCGATTTCTTTTGTTCTCTCTTCGTTCAGCGTTTGGATTTCCTCTTCTCTGAGCTTTAGCAGGTTCTGTGTTTTGTCTCGCTCTTCAGTCAGTGTGTTGACCATTTCTTTCAGATCTTGAGTCATGTTCTCCTCCATCGCCAGTTTGGAGATGATTTCCTCATTCTGCCGGGTCAGGTCTGCCACAGACTGCTTCAGTTCAGAGGCTAATGTTGTTTGTTCCTCTACAGAGGAGGAACCCTCAAGCTTCAGCTTCAGGTCATGCACACTTTCCATCCAAGTGTTTTTCTCCTCTGTAACGCTGTTCACTCTTGCCAACAGTTCATCCCTCTCCTGGTTGAGTTGTTCGATCTTCTCGTGGAGGTCTCGTACAGCATTAGCTCCCTGTTCCTTCATGGCTTTGTACTGTTCAACAAAATCTTTTGTCTTCTCACCCAGTTCTGTTTCCACACTTTGAAGTATGTCCCTCATGTGGTGGCACTCAGCCAGGGCCGAGTCTCTCTCTCTGGTTAAGGCCTCACACTGGCTCCTCAGCTCCTGGTTCATCTTCTGCTGCTCCTCTGGATTGAGGGAGTTCTGGTCCTGGGCTGCACTGATTACTGACTCCTTGGATTCTCCAAGGACTTCTTGTTGATCAGGACCCAGGGTCACTGCCGGTTCAGCGAGAGCACTGTCCTTGGTCATCTGCATCTCGTTTATTTTAAACTCCAGCTCTTCTCTCTCCATCTGGAACTCCTCCTTGACTCTCTCCAGCTCTGAGTCAAGCTCACCCTTCACATTAGTAAGCAGGGTGAGCTCATCCTGTAACATGGTGTTTTGGGCTTGAAGATCATCCAGCGTCACTTTCAGTCGTCTGGTCTCAGTCTCCTCTGCATCATCCGGGCTGGACTCAGCCTGACTGCAGCCGGACAGCTCCAGCATTTTGGCGATGCCTGAATTACGAGCAGGATCCTCATCTTCCTCTTGCACATCCTGCAGGTAGCTCTCTGGAAAAAAAGATGTGTAATGTTAGCTAAAACAGTCATTTCAAAATGTAATTTAACATGGATAGCATCATGTTTACAAGAGAGAAAGATTATGGATGTAGAGTATTTCAGCTTGGACAGGTGAGCTCCCTTACAGCATACAGCGAACAGCCTTTACTGTAAAACGTGTTGCTCGTGTTCTAAGCTCTGACTTTAAATGAAGAGCTGTTGTACCTTTGAGAGCAAGCTGCTCGGTTAGCTCCTCGTGGAGCAACAAGAGACGCTCCCTCTCAATCTCACAGTCCTCCTCCAGAGCTCTCATTTCCTCCTCGTGCTGCAGACTCTTCTGAGCCAGATCCCCCTTCAGATTCTCCACCTCCTGCTGGGCTTTAGTCAGCTCTCTTTGGTGGCTCTCCTGCAGCTCAACCATCTCCTGGGAAGTTCGTTCTTGGATCGCTTGCAGTTCACCTCGAAGGGTTTCCAGCTGAGCTTCTAAGGAACGTCTGACTTCTTCTACACTCTCTTTTGCACTGGCGGAATCTGCCTGGCGCTCCCTCTCTCTTTCACTGTCCCTCTCTCTGTCACTCACTTCTCGCTCTTTCAGTAACTTCTGGAAATGAGCGACTTCTTCTTGGTGTTTGCTTTGGGACTCCTCAATGCTGCTCTCCAGGGTTTTGATCTTCCTTTGGTGGTCTTCTGTCACACGGTCAAGCTCACCTTGCAGCGCTGCTAGATCCTCCTGTACAAAATAACAGATGTGTTATAACATTTTGGTTCAGTTTAAAACAAAAATACTTAGAGTAATATACCATAATATCAGAGAGTGTTCTACGAAACCCTCTAGAATTCAGTAAAACAGGCCAATAAACCAGTGTTACATATCATAACAGCATCTGTTGTATTTCACCTTTGCTTGCTGCTTAGTTTTCTCCAAATCTTTACGAGACATTGCAAGGCTTTGCTGAGTTTCTGCCTTCTCCAGAAGTAAGGCGTCCATCCTCTCAGTCAGCTCCTATTACACACAAATCCACATGATTCACACGGTGCAGAACAAAAATTAAGTACAGGATGTTTGCAGAAAGTAATCTATAGCACACATGTGGGATACTGCTTCGTAAACAAACCTGTATCAAAGAGGAGTCCTCTGAGCTGCTGCTGCTGTTCTTGCATTGCTGTTTGACGGATTCGACTTCCTTTTCCAAATCTGAAATTACAAATAATGTCACGTCGCAAACTTGTACACAATCGGCAGAGTCAAACACAAGTTTCTATAGGGTTCATAGCTACCTGCACATTTGCTTTTCATCTTCTGCATGGCAGCCATCTGCTTTTTGGCAAACTTGATGAGGTCATCTTTGGACAGGGTGTCCAGCTGAGAACACGACATCGAGTAAAAAAGAAAAATTTAGACACATGTTAAAGATTGCTAATAGTCATTTTAAGTTCTAATGCTTAAAATAAACGTACAGGCAGGTGACAAAATATAGGAAACACCAACATAAAGTGTTTTTAATGCACTTTGGGATTGATTCTCTAAGTCTCTGAAACTCTACTGAAGGGATGAACCATTCTTTCAAACGATATTCCCTAATTTAGTGTTTGGATGATGCTCGTGGAGAGAGCAGTCTAACGGGCCAGTCCAAAATCATCGCTATCGGTTTACTGCCTGACTGTAAAGGTCATAGCACGTGATTCACATCATTTTCATACTCATCAAATCATTTAGGCACCTTTCCTGCCCTATGGAGGGAGGCAATATCATTCTAAAGGAAACTACTCCTATCAGGATAGAGTTACTCCCTGAGTAAGAAAAGCGCTATACAAATCTAATCATTTATTATTATTATATTATTTATAAATGTTTCCTGAGAGAATAAATGGATCACTTAGAAGCAACATTCACAGTTAACCGTTCCTTGAAGAGGAAGGAGACGTGGACCCAATAAAAACAAGTGGACCTCCTCGGTGTATGGGTTAATAATTCAGGTGTTTCCTTTAATGTGTCACCTGTCTGTGGTTGTGATGCTTGCTGAGGTGCAGTACCTTTGACTTGGCTGCGCCTCCTGGTGAAGGAGCCACAGACTCAGCTCCAGTACCTCCAGGGTCCTTTGTCAGTGAAAGGAAAAAGAAAGAAATGCAAACTTAAGTAGGTACAGACTGAAACAATGACATACAAAAAAATGTTGACTCTGTCAGGCGTGGCATGCTGTTTGTCTTCAGATGTACCCAACGAAGGTCCAGTGTTAAAAGGTGAGATTTAACGTTGCACAGCTTGTCGGCAAAAGTTTATTGTCAACAAAGCACATTTTGAAAGACTCTCATACTTATTGTGAGCTACTTTTCAAATCGGCAGAAGAGTACAAAGCAAAAGTAGACTTTTTCCGACTGAACATCATGCTCATAGTGGCATCACGCAGGAACACACAACGTAACGTGCTGTATACTACGTCCTAATGTGGAGCGCATTTAAATACCAAGCCTTGGTAAGGAAGGAGTAATAGCCGGCTGTTAGTGCTGCCAGCACATTTCACTGTGATAATTAACAGTCACCGCTAAATAGCTGTTGAGAACAACACAGCAGCATCTCTGTGTCCGCTAACTTAAAGATGCTCATTCCCAAGTTATGTCCGGCTAGCTAAAGCTAACCCCCCGACACTGAACATTTACCTCCATCTCCGTCGACCGCCTGCTAAGCTGCTCCTTAGTCGTCTGTCAAGCACGAAGCGACAACAGGTGAGTCTGCCGGACAGAGTCGACTCAATTACGACGATTATTTTTTGATTCCTCGGTGATTTAAGACGAAAACATGCCCTCTGTTTTGATTTTGAGTGAACAAGTCTGAAGCGGCGCCTCGCTTCCGCAAACGTCAACCCAGTGACGTCGGCGTAAGACACGTCGCACGCGCAAACACGGATGTACCGAAATAGTCATGATAAAAAAAATAATAACAAAGAAAAGAAAAAAATAACAAAAGATAAACATTCTTTATTTTATTTATTTATTTTTGCAAAGCTAAGTGTGATGAATTTTACATTATAAATCTTGTCATACATAAATATAAATCCCTACTCAGTAAACCACGTTTTCTTGTTTTGATCAAAGAATTAAAATCCTACATTTCGACCTTTTCTAAAAGCACAAACCTCAAAGCCATTAGATCCTATAATGCATTTTTAAACCGTAATGTCTTTCTTTAACTGTAACTGTGGTCTCCCTCTGGTATGTTTGTTCTAGTGTTTATCGTTGTTGTTTTATCTTTTTATTTCTGTTTTTGTTTGTTTGTTTTTACATATATTGCCCGATATTCGTTTCTTTGTCCAAATTCATATTAAATTAGTTAAAAAATAATTATTTTGTAAGGACAACATATATTTTTGTGCTGTTTTACACTTTATAAATAACAGTATATTTTTTAAAAAAGGAATAAAAAAATATATATCATTAAAAGTAAAATTTTATATTTATGTGAGACTGAAGTATGACTGATGTATGTTTATTATTTCTATTTTTAAAAAGTGCTAATAATCATATTTAGAAAGACACTCAATTTTCTTCGTAAGATTGAGAAAAATCAGCCAGTTCACATCAGGAGGCATTTCCGTTGTAGGAAAGGTGTTACTGAAGATGTATCAAGATTTATTTAGCCTACGTTCTCAACTTTTGTTAATGATGCACTCTGTAAAGGATTTCTTTATCAAATGTATGTGCAAAAATACACATCACCACCTTTAAAAAGAGAAGGTGCAGTTTAAAGAGAGCAGAAGATCTTAGATTGTATTTATTTAAACTGCTTCTTTAAGATTCAATGGCTCACAAACTCCCTGAATCGTTATAGAATGCTGCACCACACAACATGTTTAAAAAGTTTAGTGACGTAAAGTTTCTAATGACGTGGGACAACACTGCGTCTTACTCTCAAGGTTCCATTAGCAAATTCCATTACTTTGGAAACAGCGTCGTCCTCAAAACTTTTAGCCACTACATAAGAATATAATTTGGAACAATGGCATCATTATGGTCAATAATAAGAGCATATACGAAGAGAACTGAATGGAAATGGGTGTAATCTTTGGTTGGACTTTGTTTGATGGTAAATCTCTGTCAGTTGGAAACATTTCTAGGACTGAATTAAACAATGATTCCCTTCTTTCGTCCACCAGCTGAATGTCAGTATAAAAATAATGCTAAATGAAGAGAGAGAGAGAGAAACAGAAAAATCTGCATTAATTTTTTACAATTTTATCCCACCTTTGGGTGATATACATCAAACAGAATTAACTGTATAGTATTCTATTCTAATATATCAGATGTAAAAATGTGGGAAATAATGATAATTAAACATAACTGACATCATGAGGAACTAACCCAAGAACTGATCGTTTTAAACCTGTAATGCACAGTTGAGATGTATATTGGCCCACCTGCAGCGTTATCTGGAGGCAAAAATGTCATTAACCACACAGTTTGATGTCTGCGGGTCTCTGGCATGTGTCATTAGTGAGCAAGGAAAAGGTCAAACCGTGACCTTTGATCCATTTCAAGACAGGTGGTTTGAAAGAGATGTCTCCATGTTGGCATAAGGTTCAGTAACGGCAGAGGAGTGAGGGATAAATGCAGCAGCCTGCAGCCTCCGAGCATCTCTGTGCTGTACGTTAGATATACTATTAAGAGAACTTATTCTCACCACTTACTTAAATGCATAATTTCAAGATTTAAAAAAACAAACAAATTTGCTGATTTGGATAAACCCTTTAAGTTGCAAACATTGTTTAAACGAGTTGTGGTGACATAATAATGCTGTTAATTGAATCAACTTAATATTATGTATACTTTAAGCACATGTTTCTGTAATAACTGATTGAAAGTAAATTCAAGTTGCAGCAACTTAATGAAATTGGCTCAATAACTTTACTCTTCTTTAAGTTCAGGAGTTCAATAGTTCCCTTCCCTACCAACTAAACATGCCTGTACAGTTTTGGACAGTTGAAATTGTGTGTTCGAGGGTCTGTACACAGAACAAATATGACACAAAGAATATTTCAAAGTCAGTACTTGTTCAACAAAGACATTCCACAAAAGAAATGAATTTGTGAATATTTTCAGTTGATGGAATCTGTTGTACTGTTGCATGCAGCTATTATTCACTCATACATAGTTGTGAAATTTGACCATCGTACCCTTAAGTTTAGTAACTTAGTGGATAAGAATCATAAAGTTTTATTTCACAAATATGCTCAGGCAGAGGTGGAGTTTCATGTTTATTTATATTTGTGGGGCAATTTGTATTTTTTGCTTTTAAGATGTCAATATTGTGTGTTAAAATACACAGCTGAAGTTTAAAATTAAAAAAAAAAAAGTTAAATACCCACAATTTTACTGTTAAATTACTCAATTTCTTTAAAGCCAAAAATGTGAAAAAGCCAAAAACTACTGAAGAAAATGTAATTAGAGCGAGTAGATTTTAATAATGTTTAACTTAAAAACTAATGCTTATATTTATAGCAATTAAGAAACACAAAATTCCTTTTAAATAACACGGAAAAAATAGAAAAACTTCATTTTTGACAAGTTTCATGTTTATTCTACCAATCATTAAGTAAGTATTTATTAAAAATACGTTTGATTGTAGAGAAAATCAACTCCACTAACTCAACGTGAACATCATCTCATGAAAATTTGTCTGGACTCAAAAAGATTTGGTTTTGTTGTTGAGCTTAAACATTATTTTTTAGAGTGTGCATTTAGCTACACATGCAGTAAACAGCAGAAGATAAAGACACGAACCACGTGTTCATAATGAAAATATCAAATATGCACAAAGACAGAAGACAGGTGGCTGCAGACAGCACATACTGTAGCCGAGGACCTAAAAATAACTTCTCATTGTTATTTTACTGCGTGTGCGAAGCCATATGTGGCATAAAATCACCCCAAAGCTGTCTGATGCTATATGATGTTGTTTTTGGGGGCCGCTGCAGAGAGGTGGGGAGAATCTGCCCTCATGCTGACATCAGGGCTGTCATAAACTCAGCGGATGGCCGAGCTGAGCCTCTGTATTCCCGTCACGTGAGGTCCAGTTTTATCTGTTGAATATGGAGAGCGTCTGTTTTGACACGAGTGATAGAAGCACTGACGGAGGCAACTTAGCGAGATGCCTCTCATCCTGACAAGGCTGGGATGCTCCGGGCAGAGGGGCAGAGACTCTGCCGACTCCCTGTCTCATCTGGAAGAGACCCATCTCTGCCTTCCACCCCGCCTGGGTCAAACACACCCATCCATCACGGCCCCTCCCTTGTTTTCTCCCAGGGCATCGAGCAGTATTTTGCTGCCATTTTTCTCCCCCCACTCGTGGCCGTCAGTCAGGGACGGCTTTGCAGTAATATAACTGACACTGGCTGGCGTTCAGGGAGTAATGAATAGCCTGGCTGGGTCTATCAGGAGGAGCAACAGACGCTCTTTCATGCTTCTGTCTTTCTTTATTTCTTTCTGTCTCTCTCGCTTTCTTCTGCTAGTTTTGTTTCAAAAGCAACCACATTTCAACATGGGGAGGGAGATGCATTCATCTCGCCTCTTTGAATTAAAAAAAGGAAATACTCGGCGTAAAAAAGTCTTGCAGGCTCCTCTTATGCAAATATGTCACTCTTTACTTTGCAAATGGTGTAGCAAGGGATAAATGGCAGTTAGTAAGAGTCATAAACTGCAGCAGATATTAATTTAAAAGCATTATTTTCCTTCCTTTCTTTTAAAGATGTTATTGTTATGAAAATGATATATCTATGAATTTCCCTTGCAAAGAGTGAGTTCATGTCTACGGAAATGCTGGCTGTGTGCAGCCACCCTCTGCTGCACCTCTGAGTGTTACAGATGACTTGTTTTCATGGTGAGGAAATAATATCAAAGTGATATGTATAGCCGTGGACACAGCTTCAGTTTGTGCTGCCCTGCTCTGAACTCTTAAACACATCTAGCTCACTGAAATCATCACCATGTGATAATATTGGGAAATTGTTTCACTGACCATGGAGTTAATTCACAGCGCATCTCTGCTCGAATCCTCCTTCCACAGTAAGAAATGCATCATCATCTGTTGTGCCACAGACGTCCAGTGACTGCCTTCACTCCAGTAGTTAGTTCAGTCTGCCGCTGGTTGAAGCTGCTGATCGCTCAGTAGCTGCTACACAACAACTATCTCTATCTTTTCTGTTATTTAGCTTTTAATGTAACCTATGAACCTGTGTTCCTCTTAGATTGCTGCTTCACCACGTTTACCAGCCGAACAACAACTTTGTCTGCTGTAAGACACCAGGCAGGCAGTATACAGTTTGCTGCAGCTGTAAATAATATTATTAGAATGAACGAAGAGTTAAGTTGTTGGAAAACCAAAACTATGAGCAGAAAAATGCTAAAGCTCAGTCAACCTGAGGGCAGCTGCAGAGCCGAATGGCCGCGCTTTATCATTGTGTCACTATAAGCAACACCCTTCATATTAAACAGAGCAATCTAATCTGTTATTGCCACCTGCTACCATTAAATGCTGCATGGAAGAAACACAAACACACAAAGTCATTTCACTTGGCCGTCACGAAGCATTTTTCTTGGTTTTCGAGGGTGATTTCATGCCACGTAGCCTCTGCTGACTGAGGGATGAACGTTTACCTTTTACTATCACTACAACTGGCTGACTAGCTCACCGTAACCCTCAATACCCCTGAATTAGCAGGTAGGTTTGAAAGGCAGGTTATTATTTTTTTTTTCTTTCTAAATAACACCGTAAAAAAAAAAAAAAAAGCAAAAATGATGTCCTCCT